TATTTATCTCATTGTTTTTCTTTGCCATGTGATGCTGTTCATCCGTTTTTATAAGCCTACATGTGTATTGTCACACTTTCTCTTTACCTATTCCTTTAATCTGCTCTATATATCCTATTTCTAATTAGTTTTAACTGTTTACAACTAGTGATTGTTACAATGTAAACGAGTAAATACACGAAAAAATGAAAACTGTTAAAAACTCTTTAAATTTTCAGTTCAAACCAGTTTGCTGGCTGATCATCATATAGTAGAGGCCGTTTTAAAGGAGCTATTTATAAGTTTTGCTATTGCTACATAGCCAACGTTAGCATTAGCAGCTGTTTAGCTCGGCTCAGCACCAAACTTCATTCTTTTACTCACCAAGAGCTGTCTCCAGCTGTGGAGAGCAACTCTTTTGTTTTGCTTCTATTTCTACTACTTCTTTTCTTCTACTGAAGTTAGCATGCTAACCAGCTGGCACCAGCCAGGCCGAACTGTCTTGTCACTTTCAGATACCGAGCCACTGTAGCATCCAGTCTGCCCTTAAGATGCAGCGCTGCTCAGAGGACATACTATAACCTCCTGTTTTATAAATGCAATGACGGCTGAAGCTCTTGCCAAGACTGGTAAGTAAACAGCTTTAATGCTAACGTTGGCTATGTAGCAATAGCAAAACTTACAAATAGCTCCTTTAATCAATCAGCTTACATACGCGTCATAATAATCTTTACAAATAAAAGTACTAAATTTGAAGAGCATTTCATGAGCATTACACAAAGTCACATTAAAACATAACATAGCAGTGTAACAAAGTTTTATCGAAGAAAAAAAGAAAATCCCTTTCAAGGGAAGAACAGACTGTACATCTGAGAGTGTACAACTGTAGGATTTAAAGGTCTATATCATTATCTAAACCCGTCAGCAAACTTCCTCCTCATCTGCTGTCTGTCTTGATGCTGAGCTGAGGTCGCTCGCACTCTACGACCCTGATCCCCAGAGCCAGCGACACACACTCAAACAGCAGGGATCAGTGATGAACTGCGGCGCGGAAGCGTGAACGGGTTGAAGGTTAGAGTGGGGTTAGCTGAGGACAGTAAAGATAAGAGGTAGGAAGGAGTGGGGGTGGGGTGGGGTGAATAAAAGGACAGAGGATGACGCAGGCTTATACTGTAGATAAGCTGTGAGAGATACAAGGTCAGCCGCTATAGGACACACAAAGAGATGGGAACATTAGGTCTTGCATAAAGAAGATTAAGGCTTTTCTAAATAAAGAGAGTAAACTGATCAACTTTTGTTTTTGAGTGACAGTTATGGCGGCGAATCATTCAAAGATAGAGAAGAGATGTAGAGTGAAGTTAGAGACAAAATCAAATGAAAACTTGACTAAAATATAAACAGACATGCAGCAATTTCAGGACGGAAACAAAGTTTTCAATCACTAAAAATAGATTCTTCTTTCACTGCTTTGACTGATGTTCAATTCTAGCTTCTTTTTATGGATTTTCTCACCCAGGAGGACTACAATACACACCTTGAATCAAGTGTGCAAGGCCAACCCGGTCAGTCGCCTGAGAAGCAAAACCGAGGGCAAAAAAACAAACAAACATGAAGCTAAGAAACAACTGAGAGCTTTAACTGTAAAAATGTCAAAGAAAAAGAAAAAAATTCAAATTCATTTTGAAAAAGAGGACTCACTGTACCTTGCAAGATTTATGTTCTTTGATGGAGTCCACAAGAAGAGATATACGCGTGGATAAGTGATTGGATGTCTTATTGTTTTCTCTGTATGTGAAGATGAGCATGCAAATGTGTATCTTTGAGCCAAAACAAAGCCTTACTTTCTGAGCAGGACTGGGAAGCTGACACAGTGACAGAGACGTGAACTGTTGAGGCCTGATTACAGGGAACAGACATCAAAGTCACGATCGATGGGCTTCAACAGAACGTCAATGGACATGCCTGTGGCGATGTTGCCCAGAGATTTAACAGAGTGAGGAACTCTCCAGTCATTTAAAGCTCAATGGATGGCCTGATGGGGTATGTGTGCTTAAATGAATTGAGACCATGGGGTTATTGTTTAGGCACTGAGAACTCCACCCTGAGGGACTAAGGCTGGAAAAGATCTTTCAAATCGCTATCTGAAACAATTTATTTGGCAATATCTTCTTTTATTATTTATTATATATTAGTTTCCTTTCTATAACAGTAGAGACAAGGGAGACAGGGAGACTGATGATGGGTGGAATTCAACAACCCTCATTCAAATGTGGCTTAATTCAAAAGATATATGGTGCAATATGTTGCATGTTGAAAATAAATTCAGTGAAGAAGTGCACCTGCTACCTCTTTCTTTTATTTATTATAGCTTCAGACACATGACTCAAGCAAAGACCTTGAGGGTTTGCTGCTTCAAAGTTCACTTCAGGAGTCAAAGCACTTATTAGGATGTCGCCTGGCTCAAAGCCCCAGCTGACCCGGAATGCAATCAGGGATCACCTGCTTGTGAGTACCGCTTCAAGAGAAAGTTTGACTTTGCTCATTTGGCCCTGACTGAGAATTCAAGGCTTGAAGATTCAGTGACATCTTTTCTTTAAACTTTAATTGATTAAAATTAACAAAAGACATCCCACTCGGTTTCATTTGATTCTCTCTTACATTTTGATACTAGTTTTAGCCTTGAAATGGTAGCTTAAAAGCATTTGCGCTATACATGACCGAGTCACGGAACAAGTAGACCTGGAGGGCATGAGCATTCTGTCTATATGGTACACTACTTCCGTGCGTGGCGTGGTGTGTGTTTGAATGCATTCTAGCTGTTGTCAGGCCTGTTCACAGTTGACAGGGGCTTTGAAGTGAGACAGAAGATGTCTGACAAGTCCTTGGACCTTTGAATGTAGCTGACCTTGCCCTAAGCAGTGTTACCAAGAAGCGGCTGCGGAGACCCTTTAGAAGGGCCAACTGGGGTCAGTGAACATCCATGTTGAGTAAGTGCAATGCTTAATAGCACCGCCCTGTTCGTGTTAAATCATAGAGTACATGGCCTCGGACTGTGTCACGCATTTGTCATGTGCCCCGGTGCATATCTTTGAAGCCTGTAGCAGAAACAGTAAGAGACAGATGATTGCTGAAAGGTCCATTGAGCACAGTTTTAGATATTAACACTGAATATGCCTGACTGCTGATACCACTGAGAATCAACACCAAATTTTCATCCATAAACGCACATGGTCAACTCCTAACACCCATCTCAAACCTTCTCATATGAAAACAGGGTATGTCGATTATAGCCTACAGTACTAGTTTAAGCAAGGCAGTTAAGTATGGTGACTGCAGCATGAAATAAAGGGAAGTAAGACTGCGGAACATGCAGTAAGGTAAGAGACTGAGAGCGGTATGTCTACCGCTGGTGCCTCCTAGGGTAGAGACAAATGACCTACACTATATGCTTGTTTATGCTGGATGATTTGTTGGAAAAGAGACTTCAGATGGAAGTATTTGGTTGGTGGACACAACAGAGCAAAAAAAAATCAATCATGGCAAATGGCGGAGAATGTAACTTTTTTTTTCTTTTTTTTTGCAAATCTAGACATTTTACATTTGTTCACAGATAAGTTTTCTTCTCTGGGTAACAGCAGCTGACAAAAACAATCTCACCACAGTAGTTGTGCTGGAGCTTTTGATCGTATCGACTGATCTTCCTCAGCAGATGGAGTTGTGATATGTGTGTGTGATACAGTCAAAGGCTTTACAGCTACAGAGTGGGCCGTATACATTTGTTGTTCTGAAGATAGTTCACACTTGTTTTAAGTTTTACATTAAAATTATTTTAGAAGTGTGACTGATTATCAGGATAGTAGTGCAGGATCACTTCGGCCCAAATAACAGTACTATGAGATTCCTACAGTATGTTGACACATTCCCTACTGGGAATACAGGTCAGTTTACCATTTAACAACCTTAATCAATGTTTTCTCCTGAATGTCGGGATTGCAAATGACCTCACTTAATAAAGTCGCTCTTCATTGATCCCCATACAGCTTTAACTAATTTCCCTCCACAGCAGGGTTAGAGGTCAGTGTAACCTCCGGCGTTGGAAACAATTCAAACTTTTTGCTCAAGGACATGTCCGCAGTCGGATGCTTGTCCTCCAGTTCGAGGACGTCCAACATCTATATATTCCTTTTGTGATAAAACTAGATTTGCAGCCATCTTGGTTCTGCTTTCTGCCCTACAGTTTGAGTCTGAACTTTAAATAATAAGTTTACTGTTTGATATTCTGATTCCTGAATTTAGAGTAACCCGGGATTAGGAAATAAGCCTGATTGCCAAATGAGCATTGATTCTGACACCTCACAGCAAAATGGCCAGTGTGGACAGGCAGTGAATTAGCCAGCAGTCAGCAGGTTGTGTTGTCTTTATTAATGGCAAGGGACCTGCTCTCTCTCTCTCTGTCGCTCTCCCTCTCTTTCTCCTCCTTTCATTTCCTGGCATGGCTCCTAATGGGCGTGCTCCATCAACTCATTACTCAGATGGATAAAATGGCTTTTTATGTGGCGCCGGTGAGCCACGAAGCTTCAAGCAGATTGAACAAATGAAGAGAAATCAGAGGCCCATTGCAGGCCTGATAAAGCGGTGTGACGGATTTTCTCAGCTTCACCATTATCTGAGAGAAATGACTACCCCTGCATACAATGTAGTATTCTGTTCTGAAGTATAGTGCCTATGATGTACTGCTGCATTGCTAGTGTACTACAGTACTATTTGAGTGAAAGATGGAAATGTGTTGTGGATTTGTTTGTGCCTTGCAAGATAACAGTGGCTAAAAGCTGCAAGTAATTGCTTAAAAATGTAAATTGACTTTTAAATGAGCAGCAGCTGTTAATAGCCACCTCCATTTTAATACAGGCCGGCAAGGAGATGTGGAATACATTCATCCAAATGGTTTCTTTGACAACGATACTCTTGGGTGCCGTGGCTGTTCAAATGATAAATGAGAGGGGTACAAACGAGACACATACCTGATGCCTTTGATTTGTGCAATGCTGTGGTGGGAGATCCTCGACAGAGCGGAGATTACCTGAAACACACAAAAGGATTGTTGACTGTTTGTCACACAGAACAGTCAGCTACATTTTTTCAACATCTTTAAGATCGCCTTCAATCCCCTTGACATATCATGATCAGAATAAGCAGTCAACGGCATGACTGTGTATTTCCGCCTCAATTGCGGTGAACCAATGACAGTCTCATAAAAAACGGACAGCCATACCTACGTCATACGTCACATACCCAAGGAACCAATCCTGAAACCTTGTTAGTTACAAGCTAAAAAGCTAACAAACAAAATTAACAAATAAAAGATGCTAGCCACGCTAACCGTTCTGATACGTCTGCTAGTCGCCAATTTTGGTGCACGAGACACTCCTCATCCGAGTCTGGGTCTGACTGAGGCTCAAACATGCGGCTGAATCTCTCCAATGTTTCCTCCTCTAACCATCTTGATACGCACTGCTGTTTCACCGGACAACCTGGCACAAGCAGTGGTGGTGGGGGGCGGGGCACAAGGCCTGATCCAGAGTTTCTTAATGAGGAAGTAAGAGTAGATCTGCTTCCAGCCCCTTTTCAGAGTTTTTCCTCTTTTTTTACTTTCTATGTGGGAAAACCATGTTAAACAAAACATTAAATCACAACTGAGTATTTTTTTTTTTACATAGTTTAAAACATGTCTGGAGAGGAACTGTATGTCAAATTTATTTTCAAAATTATTTCACTTCACTTTTTATTTCTCTTAATTTTTCTGGTTCATTCTATCTTTCTTGTTTGAAAGATAGCGTTATCATACTGTGATACTGTATTATTCTGTATTACTCCCCTAAATACTTTGGCGATACAAATGCACATCAGACAAAACCAACAAAACTATGAAAACAGTGACAAATGTAATAAAAAAGATAAACTATAAAACTATAAAAGCAAGTAAAAAAAAAAAATGTCAGAGTCAACAATCAGCAACAAAAGCAACTACAAGTGACAAAAAGAGATGCAGTCACAGGCAACAATAAACTAGAAGTAAACATCAAACAAATCGTCAAAGGGAACAATCAAAAGTAATGAAAGCAACAGAGGAAGAGTCATTAACAAACTATACTGCATCTGCTGCCAGGTAAGAGAAAAATATGTTCAACATTCACTGCTCTCTGAGGGTGATTATCTAACATTACCAGCATGTTTCTTAGCAACCCCTCTCAGTCGCATTCAGCGCCACACAGGACTGTGTGTAAACATAATGCAGGCCACCATGTTAATGGTGTCATACAAAGACATGTGGTGCACAGTCGCGCAGGGTGGGCACCGCTGTGGTTTGTTCACACACATGTAGTCACGAACTTGACCAATCGCCCTATTCTCCTTATTTTGCTTACTACCTTGTTGTCTATGTGGGCTAATCTCCATACTTTCCCTCTCTACTTTTTTTTGTGTGTTAGTACAAGAAGGTTAAATGCGAGTACGCATTTAAGCTGATTTATCATGGGTTGTGAGTTACACGCAAGTGGGCTTATGGCTGAGGTCTACAGATGGCATGGTTGCTGGGTCTACAGAGGGTAGTTCAGGAAGATGAGGAAACCACCACCCCAAAACACACACACACACACACACACACACACACACACACACAACAAAACACAAACCCTGTCTCCTACGCCTCATTACCCACTCCTGGGTGTATTTCCACTTGCAACACCGTGGCAGTGCCAGATGCCTCCTCGACAGGGAGGAGAAAATTGTTATCTCAACCCCTCTTCCTCGGCAGGTGTGTCATCTGCAGCCTCTCATCAAACTCCCTCTTCTCTAAACACACAATGCAGCATGTCACCGCTTGTGGTATTTAAAATTCAAGAAGAGCCCATGGTAATGGCTGTTGCAAAGAGAAGCCCACCACTTTAGGGACCCTGGAGTAACGGTGAAGTGGTGTTGACCAAAACCTCTCACTCTCTCTATTCAAGTTGTTCTCATGTTTAACATAATCAGTTGTGGAGAGTTTGGTGGTGGTGGTGGGGGGGGGATTACATGGACCACTGTTATGGAGTTCGAATGCATCGTAATCGTTTGCATCTAACCACTCTATGGGGGGAAACCTCGACGGCACTATCGCTCGGCAGGATGATAAGGGGTTATTTCTCTGTGTTGCTAAAGACCCGTGTAATAGGCATGTTCATGCTTAATGGTTCCAATATGAGCCCAGTCTACCATTACACACCTCCTTAACATATATTCTAACTGCACTCTGCAGGCAGGGACCAAAAAGGAAAGAAGGGGCAGACAAAGAAGGAGAAAAAAAAACAGAAAAGGATGAGGAGAGGGGAGAAGAATGGGGTGCTAATTCAGCTCAGAGCCTCTGTTTAGTCAGTGGTTAGGGTGTTTAATAAATCACTGTAGATAAACCCTTTGTGATGCTGGGTGGCATGCTGCCCACCTGGCCATGCTGCAGGGAGGGATCACATATGGCACACTGTCCCAGCATCATTATTAGCTCTATTATATTGGTCTTATTAGCTTACATTGTCTTTGTGGAGGGGTAACAGACGACATCATTTGAACAGGGAACAGCAGAAAAGCTCACGTAAAAAAAACATAGATTGATAGATAGATTCAGTATTTAGTAGCAATCCATTTTTAATGCGGGGTAGTGTGATCAGCTGCGGTCAGATCTGGCTAAACACAGCTGGCTTCATCCAGGTTTTGTCGAGGTTCAAAGGATAGGGGAGCTGCTGGCTCGGAGCCAGAGAGGTCCAAAGCCTGCTTGGCCTGGGGAGGCAAGACATGAGTGTGCCAGTGCTGTGCATGCTAGCGTGACTTCCACACATCACAGCGTAAAGTCTATTAATATTAAATCTCGGGTTTCCTTAACATTAAGCAGTTTGTTCTCATTTTTTAACTTCTTGTTAGCCTCACACGCCATAATGTGAAAAATATGTCTCAGTACTGGGAGCACTGGCAGTCCATGACTCCCTCTGGCTTTGGTAAGAAATGCTAATTTGCAATCTGTTTTCAGGACAGCTGCCGCAGTCAAAATTTCTTCTCACATTATGATGAGTGCATAAAATGACAGTTACATTTTGTTATCTAACTATGTAGAGCTACACTTTCACTGCAGACGAAGTAAATGTGAATACAGGGTTGATTTTATTTAACAACTTAAAGGTCCTATATTTGACTGGTGTTTTATTTGAAGTGTTGATATCCATAAGAAGATATATTTGTGGTTTTAAGAACCAAAAAACATATCTATGTAGTTTTACAACTCCTCTCTCAGGCTTCTCTCAGGAGCTCTAGTAACAACTGGTCAGTGTGTCAGTGAATGTGTTCGGATACAATAAAAAATATAGCAGATCTCTGGTAAAACACTGAGAGAAACCAAATTTTGGTTGGATGGTGGGTCCAGGTGGGCGGGGCTTGGGGTATGGCTGAGGGCGGTGACTGCACAAAGTTACAGTAGTCCTGACAGCTTGTTTCAAGCTCAGTTTCTGAATACAGGCTGGGTGCATTTCTCTGTGGACTGAGCGCTTTGATACTTCCACAGTATTAACATAGAACCTAGACCTGCTTTATAATGAAAAAAAAGACATGGAAATCTCACTTTATACAATATGGGACCTTTAAAGAAATACTCCTCCAGAAATCTAGAAGTAGACTTTGGAATCTAGAGGCTCTAAGTGATACCCAAAAGATCTTCAGTTGAGTGTTCCTTTAAAAGAAATTTTTGGAGCTGACATCTTTTTTATCTGTCTCATGATGCCACTCCTCTTATTTTCCAACCTCTGCTCAAAGGTGGCCCGTCTGTCTGATTGTGTATTCCTCTCTCTGCCTGTGTTTCTGTTTCCCTCTCTGCCTCTAATACAGCCTCTTCACCCTCTTCTGATCCTTTGGTTCAGTCAAAGCCTTTGAGTCTCTACACATTATTAATTTCCCTCTCATCTCGTACTCCCCGGGGGGCCTTAACTCTGGGGCTAGCCAGAGAATAAAGCCTCTTTCACCCCTCTAGGAATATGCAAAAGACAAGTCACACGATAGAGTGAAAGCTTAGGTTTCTTAAGCCCCAAACCAATATCTTACCTTAATTACCACCCCACAGCCCCTGGCATCCCCTTACCCACATCTGACCCTTCCCTGTCAGTCAGGGCAGTGTAATTGAAGACACGTGTTCAGTCAGACAGCCTGACATGCAACATTTACAATCCATTTTAAGACTTTGCATGCATGCATGCGTGTGTGTGTGTGTGTTTGTGTGTGTGTGCATGTATGTGTGTGTGTGTGTGTGTGTGTGTGTGTGTGCGTGTGTGTGTGTGTGTGTGTGTGTGTGTGTGCGTGTGTGTGTGTGTGTGTGTGTGTGTGTGTGCGTGTGTGTGTGTGTGTGTGTGTGTGTGTGTGAGTGTGTGTGTGTGTGTGTGCGCGCGCACGCGTACAGGGCAGGGGGAGCAGGGATAAGGATTGCATCTATGGATTAAGTGCAAGTGTTTGCAAACACACGTTTCCCCTGGCAACCATGGCTTGGCTGAATAATATGCCAGGTCATCAATTACAAATCAAATCAAACCTGCAGCCATATGCGATTAAAGCGCAGGAGGGCGGGGCTGTGATCTGATTAAGATCTGAAAACGTTCACAATGGGACTATTGACAGTCCATCACAAAACACAGCTGGCCGCCAATTCTCTTCATATCTGATGCACTAGTGACACGATTATACCTCCGCATAACCGCAAAATCAATGCGTGTGTTGGAAGTCATGCAACAAAGAGGCAGAATTAATAAAAAATTCATCACATTACTATTATGCCGTTTCCTCATTTCTCTCTCTGGGCTCCTTTCTGCAACAGCCAACTCCCTGATAGTGTGATATATTTATGAGGTATTCACACTTTGATAGGACAGCATTCCTCTGCTTATGCCAGCCTGCCAAAGTGGTAGGCATGAGGCAAAAGGGGCATGGAGTGGGAGAGCTGAGAACAGATGGCTGAGAGGGAACCCTGCGTGCCCAACATCAATAATAGACAGACAGAGGAGGGACGGTTGAGCC